GGGCGGGTTACAAATAAAATTTATTATTTATTATTATTATTATTATGTCCTTCAGTCTTTGACCAGAGACAACAGTTGATCCCTGTTGTGATCCTTCCAGAGATGAAACAAAATTGGCTTTGCAACCTCATGCATACCACCCCTTCTTCTACCTTTCTACAAGCACCTTTTAAGAAGCATCAGCAGTCTATTATGGCATAAGTTCCAGTAAATCTCCAGACAAAATTCCTGCCGGGCCTGGCTAGGAAATCACACTGGCAATTCTCACCTCATCTTTAAGACAAATGCCTTTTTGAAGAAAGCAACCTTCCCTTGTGAACTGTCTGCAGTTCAGGAACAATCGCTTCTCCTGCTTACATAAGACATACTTACCTAGCACTAAAACACTCTGGGAATCTTTGTATTTGCAGAATGGAAGAAAGAGACAGAGAGTGCCAGTGGTGTAGCGACAAGGTATGGCAAAACGAAGGCTATTTTTTGTTGTTGTTGTGTGCCTTCAAGTTGTTTCTTACTTATGGCAACCCAAGGTGAACCTCTCAGAAAATTTTCTTGGCATGATTCTTCACAGAGGGTTTGACACTGCCATCCTCTGAGGCTGAGAGATTGTGACTTGTCCAAGGTGGGTTTCCATGGCTGAGCCAGGATTCGAACCCTGGTCTCCCAGAGTCTTAGTCCAACACTCAAACCACTACATCACTCTGGCTCATAACGACGGCACTGCCCTCCCCAATTAAATTTTCCTTCTTTCTCCAAATATCTAGCATTGCAGAGAGCAAGATAGAACACATAGTTTTTGCTTTGGTAACTTCACCTGCCTCTTTTCTTTGGATGACTGGACTGTCTTCCTAAATACACAACTGAAGTTTTATGTTTCTGCAGTGCTAGAAAATCAGGGAATTTGAAGGGAAATTTCATGGATGGGTGGGTGGGTGGGAATTCTTATTGGGGGCACAATGCTCCCCCCCCCCAACACATACCATACTATATTCCTGGGGATCACCATGCCTCAGAGCAAGCACTATTTTGAATAAGGGCACAATCTCCCAAATGCATTTAACATTTCTATAAAAATGTGAAAACCTGAAAATTGGGTGTTGCACTCAGCATGCCTATGGCATTTCATACCATTCACATTCAAACTGGTATTTACATTTGCCAATTCTCCCCGATCTGTTACCACCCTTTGGGTGGTTCCAGCTATGGATAATGATGCTGTCGTCACCAAGTGAGGAGTTAGGGGGGAAAAACGTAAATTGATGCTGAGGAATTTAGCAGCTATTATCACTGTTTCAGTGTGGCATTTTTTAGGCCAACCAAGCTGATTTTCACTGAGTCAATGCTATCAGGCAAGTTTTCAATTGGACTATAAGTGGCTGTAGGTGATCCCATAGAAGCCAGCATGGTATAGTATTTTGAGTGTTGGACTATGACTCTGGAGGCCAGAGACTGAATCCCCACCCAGCCTTGAAAACCCACTGAGTGACCTTTGGTGAGTCACACTCTCTCAGTCTCAGAGGAAGGCAAAGGCAGACTTCCTCTGAACAAATCTTGCCAAGGGAACCCTCTGAAATTTTTCTTAGGGTCACCCTAAGTTGGAAACTACTCTAAGGAACAGTTCCTTCCTCTCAAAAATAGCCTATAGCACCTGGTATTTGTTGGTGATCTCCCATCCAAGTATTAACCAGGGCAGACCTTGTTTAGCTTCCTACATCACAATGGGATTTGGTGGCTTTGGGGTATTTTAACATCATAAAAAGCCCTTCTCTTGCTCACAATCCATTGCTGGAAGAAAAAGGGAAGCAAAGAAAGGACATTCCTAACCTCCACTTCCAAAGTCTGAGAGCAGCCACAGAGAAGGCCCTCTCCCATTTTTGAAGTCTTCTTCTTTGGAGGTTTTTAAACAGAGACTGTATGGCCATCTGTCAGCGATGCTTTGATTGTGAGTTCCTGCATGGCAAGGAGTTGGACTGGATGGCCCTTGTGGTCTCTTCCAACTTTATGATTCTATGATTCTGTACACCAGTGTGCTGCTTCACTGTTGCGAAAGGCTGTGTGTGAAAAGGAGGGAAGCACATGGAATGCAAACCATATCATAGATTTGAGGCAAAGGCAATAATTACACTATCATTTAGAAATGGTTGTGGTTCGTTCAGAATTCCAGTACTACCTTTGTATATCAGACTGTCTACACCTTCAGTGATTCCTGAATTGGATGTTAATTGTGTTTATGTAACCAGAGCTTATCTAATGCCCCAAAAGATGCCTCCAGGCGCTGAGAAAGCCTACTTTATCTGTTGCCTTCATCCGTTTTTAAAATACTATATCCTCTGTTTTGTCTTGTAAAGAACTCGGTGATTTTGTGTTCCCCGCTGTACTGAATCAGTTCAGTTGTAACAAATGATACAGACTTATGTTGCCCATAAAGCAGGGATTCTTGAATTATGCTCTATTGCCAGTTAGTCTGTTTTGGGGCACAATTCAAAGTGTTGTTTAAAATCTATAAACAGAACAAAAAACTGGAAAGCACAGTAGAAGAATGAGGGAGACATTCAGAAATCTATAAAGCCCCATATGTCTCAGGTGTAGGCTAAATGAAGGACTGTATCTTCCCACATGTGTGGTAAAATCTTCAGAGAAGACATTTTTCTCTTATCTCAACACCTTCAGAAGCACATTTAGTGAGAAACCATATATATAGAATCACAGAATTGGAAGAGACCACAAGGGCCATCCAGTCCAACCTCTGCCATGCAAGAACTCACAATCAAAGCAATCCTGACAGTCTCTGTTTAAAGACCTCCAAAAAAGGAGACTCCACCACACTCCAAGGCAGTGTGTTCCATTGTCGAACAACTCTCACTGTCAGGAAGTGCCTCCTAATGTTGAGGTGGAGTCTCTTTTTGTGTAGATCAGGGGCCAGCAACCTACGGCCCCCGGGCCGGTTCCGGCCCAGGCGGACCCCTGTTGCTGCGCGTTTTCTCGTCCATGAGGCCGCAACGTGTTTGCGCATGCGCAGGAGTACTGCACATGCGCAAACGCGTCACGGCCACCATTTTGGAATTCAAAATGGCGGCCGCAACATGTGCGGCGGCGGCAGCGCGTGTGGGGGGGTCGCATGCGGCGGCGGGGGGTACGTGCACGCACATGAGCACGAGCACCACCATCCCCCCCCCTCGGCCCAGCGGGGATGAGGACTTTGGGGGACCGGCCCAGGACCAAAAAAGCTTGCCTACCCCTGGTGTAGACTGTATCCATATTCTGGGTCATATTCTCTGGAGCAGCAGAAAACAAGCTTGCTCCCTCCTCATTGTGACACCCCTTCAAATACTTAAACAGGGCTATCATATCACCTCTTAACCGTCTCTTCTCGAGGCTAAATATACCCAGCTCCCGAAGTCACTGCTCACAGGGCACTGTTTCCAGACCCATCACCATTTTAGTTGCCCTCCTTTGGACACACTCCAGCTTCTCAACATCCTTTTTGAATTGTGGTGCCCAGAACTGGACACAGTATTCCAGGTGGGGCCTGACCAAAGCAGAATACAGTGGCACTATTGCTTCCCTTGATCTAGACCAGGGGTAGGCAACCTTTCCCCTTTAAGGGCCGAGGGACTTCAGTTCCCAGAATCCCAGGAGCTATTGGCCAACATGGGACTATTGGGCAACATGGCTGAGGCTTCTGGGAGCTGAAGTCCCTCGGCCCTTAAAGGGCAAAGGTTGCCTACCCCTGATCTAGACACTATACTTCTATTGATGCAGTCTAGAATCACATCAGCCTTTTTTGCTGCCACATCACACTGTTGACTCATGTTCAACTTGTGGTCTACTAGGACTCCTAGATCCTTTTCACGCATAGTCTCATTAAGCCAGGTGTCCCACATTCTATATCTATGCATTCATTTTTTGCCCTAAGTGCAGTACCTTACATTTCTCCATGTTGAAATTCATTTTGTTAGCTTTGGCTCAACTTTCTAATCTTTTAAGGTCATTTTGAATGTTCATCCTGTCCTAGATTTATGGCTTGTGCATGTATTACTTTGTATCACATTCTCCTTTCCTCATACCACCATTTCCTTTTCATTTTTCTAATGAGAAATACAATGCGGCCTTGGTATCCACTGGGGTTTGATTCCAGGACACACATATCCATAGATACCAAAATCAGTAGATACCCAAATCTCATTAAATATAATATTCATAGTAAAATGGTATCCCTTATATACAATGACAAAATCAAGGTTTGCTTTTTGGAATTTATATATATATATATATATAT